GGTGGGGGGGGAGTCGAGGATCCTTAGCCAAGCTCTGTAAGCCCGTGGGAAAATGAGGTCAGCATCACACTTCCTCTACAGGTTACCTTTTTAACCGCATTAAGTCGTCTAAATTAAATCTCGTGTTTGCAGCAAAGACAGGAAGTGACTTAGAGTCAGAACAAGAGCGCCACATGTAATTATTCCAGAGATTATTCCCTCAAATGCACGAAAATTACACGCAGATAAACAGATTTAATACACTATAAAGTTTATATAGTAATATTATAAACTGAGATGTGCAGAAACATTGAACGGGTTAGTTTAAGAAGACCTAATTAAAAGGAGATGACTAAGATACTCTCCTGTTATCCGGAGACCAGCATTAAACCCTGAGGGACCTTTAAAATCACTACACACTTTTTACTTACACTGCATTAAACCTTTTTAACAACTTCAGACCTTTTTAGTTTTATCTTTATTTTAATATTTTTAAAAGTTTTACAACATTTTTGTCAATTTTTTTCTAAAAAAAATGCAGTATTTTCAAAAATCAAGTGCAAAGAGGAATATTTGGCAGTGGGTTCCTACAGCCTTGATTAGGTCAATTAAGATTAACATTGATTTTGATGGCTTCTTGTTTCTGGAGTGTTGTCAGTTTATTTAAAAAAACGTACACTTTAAGGCCAAAAATGGTGCTGTCAATATAGTGTCATAAAAAATGCTAGAAATATTTATCTACTTTATTGAATAAATATTTTTAACAGCTTCAGACCCAATCAAATATTTCCTTCTAGTTTTTGTTTACAAGCACTTTTCATCACGAGTATTTGCAAATCAATGCATAAATCCATTCACTTTCCCGACTCTTCAGCCCACGTGTCTCTGCTGAAAATGACATTTATTGCTCTGGTTRGGGAGCTGTGGCGTGAGCAGAGCTTTACTCAGCTGTCCTCAGGGCAGCTCAGCAGAAATGGGGGAGAGATTTCACGCTCCAGAGGCAGCAGAGCTCATGGATGCAGCCGCACTCGGCTGGGGCTGTTRGTACCGAGGGAGGATGGTTTGTTTCCATTTCAGCAGGACTGTCCAGTTTTGCATAAAAGCTTTAATTATTTATCCTCACAACAAACAGATGGTCAAATAATTGAGTTTTAAACAAATAGCTTTAAGTCAGCTTTACAAAKATTCACCTAAAGTTTGATGTGGTAGTAACCYAGAGTGATTGAAACATAATCTGAATCTCTCAATATTGCATAAGATTATTTTCAGGGTTTGTCCAAATCAGCTACATTTTTTTTTATTTCAAGCAGTAGTCAACAGGAATTCATTCSTTAATACTACAATGTTTACATTTACAGACAGTAAATTAGAATTACATCTATGGAAGCCAGCGCTTGATGTTCTCATCTTTTCTAGGCTTGTTTCAAAAAGTGAAATCTCTCATCTTTAACAACTTCCTCTAYTTTCACTGCTGGCTGAGTCGTTTACAACTGTGAAGTCTGGTTTTAGACTGCGGGCAGGATTCCAACACTGTGACAGATTAGTCTGCTATATGATCTGATGTAACATCACTGCTGTGGGGAGGAGAGACACTTAGATGAGTTTGTGTCTTGACGTCGGGAAGAAATGAGGGGCGGGGGTTGAAGAGAYTGGAAGATCACCAGGCAGACTGGGGCAGTGGCTGTAGAGAGTCAAGGGACAAAGAACTACAAGTCCATCTGTGTCCA